CTGGAGCCAAACAATCTGATGTTAGCCATTTACTGGCTGTGTAAACCTGAACAAGCTACTTAATTTTTTTTGTCTGGATTTTCTTATAATAAAATATAGATAATAATAGAATTTACCTCATGGGGTTGTTAAATTCATGATAAGTGGGTGCTTAGAGCAGCATCCTTGTAGCAAATGGTCAATAAATATATTGTCTCCATGATAAAATGACATTACAACCAGTTTATATGAAGTATTAGAAGTTTAAAAACATCTAACCCATATGAAGCACCTGTATGCATCGGGTACTGTGCTAAGCACAGTAAACACCATTATTCAGTATTTCAAACCTCAAGATCTGTGTTCTTAACCATTGGGTTACATTTTCTTCTGAGGATGAAGAGAGAAAATGGAAAACAAGACAGTCTTCTTCAATTCTAAATCATTTTAAAGATGATCTTGAGTACATATATGAGAGTGATTACTCAGAGCTCCAAGAAGTAAACACTACCTCGGAGGGTGGTCCAAATAAATTAGCACCCACCAGCTGTAACTCACTGACACCACAGAGTAACATTTGCATTTGTAGACTGAAAACTGGACTTAAACTAGAGAAGTCTGATACATTTCATGATTTAATTTTTTCTAGGTTCTAATTATGTATGTTTTATTGCTCCTTGGATGGTTTTTGTTTCTTATTTTTATTGTTTTGGTGTTTTTTGTTTGTTTTGTTTTGTTTTGTTTAATGAATATGCATAATAAGGTGAAACAGTCCTCAAGAATCTTTAGGAAATATATCACTGGTCAGTGTTAAAGCAACTATTAAGCAAGCCCTAATCATAATCACAGGTAAGTAACCTTTATATACCTATTTATTTATAATACTTATTTGCACTATGTGCTAAGAACTTTAAATATTATCCATTAAATTCTCAACAAACCAATGAAGAAAAGACTATTATTATCTTCCACTTTACAAGTGAAAAACTGAGATTAATGAGATTAATTCACTTGACCAAGATTTGAAAACAAGTAAATCATTGTATGAAGCCAGAATCAAAGCCCAATTCTGAGTTCTGACTCCGAAAATGTCCTACCTTGTGCAGATTGGGTGGACACCTAAGCTGGGGCTTTGCATGAGGGGCCACTCGGGAAATATTTATGGAATAAAACATTATTAACCATTTAATATGTGAGAAATTAAATCACACCCCTCTCTCTTAGGCTGGAAGAGTTTCTCAAATTTAGGGGCTGAGGATATGCTATATGAATGGTTCCAGACAGAAGTCAAGTTTGTGAATTCTTAGACACTATTTGGTCACCAAAAATGAATTCCTAAGACAAATTTATCTCAAGTGTCTCAAGTTCAGTCAGTCTGCAGTGTTGGAGTATTTTGCTAAAAATAATACAAAGACCTTCAGCTCGACATTAGTGCTTAGAAGAGAGGATTTATTTGCTCTAAGAATAATGACTGTTTTTACTACTCTTAGTCCTTAGTAAATCATTATAAGATGTAATGTGGAACCATACAAGTAACCCATGTATTGATCCATTACTCATCGATCATCACTCAATGACTGCTAGGTACCAGACACTTTATATACATTATTTCATTTCTTTCTTAGAATAAACTTGTTACTCCCTAATTTACTGAACAGGAAATTGAATAGTTGGATAATCTTCGAAAAGTTTCAACTCGGGTCTGGCAATGCCAAAATCTGGCCTCTTTCTACCATACCTAGAGTAAAAAAATCAGAAGACTGCTGCTCCCAGTGGCTTAAACTCTAGGGACAATGAGAAAATCTTAATAATTGGAGGAAAAGAAAAGTGGGGAGGTCACAGATTCTTAGAGGATATGAGTTCTCTTTCAGGGAAAAATAAAAGTGCTTTTACACACACACACACACACACACACACACACACACACGCACGCATGCACGCGAGCGCACAAATACTTATATACAATGTCATGGATTACAGATCCCAGTTAGGAAGTCTTGTTTTATGGACAAGATAACAAATAGAGAGAAGGGGCAGGGAACAGATACACAAACTTTTTAAAAAGCCAAATCATAAACATGTTCACAAACAGTTGTAATGGTTTGGAGGGGAAAGAATTTATAAAATAAGTAGAGATAACTGGTGTAGATAGGTAAAGGTTACAAAGGACTGGTTTCAAGATATTATATCAAGTTTTTAAAGAAAAAAGAGACTTGGTTGTTCTCTCAATCCAAGCTACCACTACTCAGAGTTTACCCATTCAATAGCTTGGCTAGATTTTTAAAACAGATTGTTTCATAACCATTAACCACCCTGTGGCAGAGGGAACAGGATGGATAGAGAAGAGGGTAAAAAGTGAGGTTTAGTGACATCTCCCAATAACCTACCTGGCTAAGGCCAAAATGAAAACTCCAGCTTCTGTGTGAAGGGTACAAGCAAAGGCCAGAGTCAGCGGACATTTCACCTCCATGAATACACTGTACTCTGAGCATCCTGCCACTTGAAAATTCATCTTGCCCTGACTGGTTTGGCTCAGTGGATAGAGTGTTGGACTGCGGACTGAAAGGTCCCGGGTTCGATTCTGGTCAAGGGCATGTACCTTGGTTGCGGGCACATACTCAGTAGGGAGTGTGCAGGAGGCAGCTGATCGATGTTTCTCTCCCATCGATGTTTCTAACTCTCTATCCCTCTCCCTTCCTCTCTGTAAAAAATCAATAAAATATATTTTAAAAAAAGAAAATTCATCTTAATGTATGTACAGTATCATAATTTCTACTCAGTTTCTACAAAATCCAACAAAAACAGCCAGGCACTTGGCGAAGATATACCTTTGCACATCTTGAAACATACAGACTTAAAAGATATTTAAAGCTTAATTTAAAGTCAAATACTCTCAGCTTTGAGAGTATTTGACTTTAAACCTCATAGTCAATGAGGTTTACCCGAGGCAAGATTATTATTAATTGAAAAAATAATAATAAAAATAAAGTCAAATACTCTGGAGCAATTTTAATTTGTGGTACTAAATTCAGGGTGTGGGAGTGGGGCTAAGAAATGCAGTATTAGCCTGGCCGGCATGGCTCAGTGGTTGAGCATCAAACTATGAAGTAGGAGGTGGCCATTTGCTTCCCGGTCAGGGCACGTGCCCAGGTTGCTGGCTCGATTCCCAGTGTGGGGCGTGCAGGAGGCAGCGATCAATGATTCTCTCTCATCATTGATGTTTCTATCTCTCTCTCCCTTTCCGTTCCCCTCTGACATTAATAAAAATATATTTTTTAAAAGAAAGAAATACAGTTGTTAGTTGGCTCAAGAGAAAGGACATGGCACCTCCCGTGCCTTGGGAGCACAGTGGCCTGGGCAACCACTGGATGAACTGATATGCACAATCATATAAAGTAGGAACCAGCTTTTGGCATCAAATTTCAACATTCTTAATCTTCAAATGCAAACATTATAATAAGCAAACATCACCACTGGAAATGTTTTCTCTTGTGGAGCCATAAGAGGACAGCAGAATCCAAGTTCAGCAAAGACAGCAAAGCTTGTTCTTGTCAATGAAAAGTATCATTGTCCCATTTATTTAGAAATAAAATCTTTATTATAGTAAGTCAGGGTTCCCAAAAAATCCATAACATAACCCCTTCAGTGAGTTTCTCATCTCACAGTTTAAAGAAGTTGTATTGTCATGAAAAGCTGAGAGTCCATTTGCTGTTTTGCCCAGCGCCTCTAAAACTCTGAATCCCCAGTGGCTGAATTATATTGGAAAGAACACTGTGTAGCCTTATGTAATTTGAATAAAATCAAGCCACTGAGTTGTCCATGACATTCCAGTTCATTTTAATTATATATTAAATATACATTAATTAGACATTAAATTAAATACATATATTGACCTGCCTTTTAATGATGTTCAGTGATATATGACCATAGCATATAGTCAATATTCATCTTTGTTTCCTAGATGTCTTTGTATTAACAAAGTTTCTATACCTGAAAAGCCCCAAATTCATCAAGGAAAGCATATAAACTTACTGCTACAGTAAGTTTTAGACTTTACTGATAAAGTCTAAAACTTACTGCTACAAGCTCATTTTCCTAGACTGTTATTATACATAATAAGAGACTTGATTTGACAGCTCCTATAATAACACATTACAGATTTTACATTGGATGTGTTTTTTTACCTTAAACTCTTGTGGCAGCAAGACCATTTTCCTCAAAGCTGATTGGTTGTGCAGGTCTGCAGCAGTGCTTAAATGTGACCTTGCTATCCCAAGCTCTTCTGACAAGGAGCCTTTTGGTACAGAACATGACATCTTCATGAAGAATTTGTTTTATTATTAAGAAATAAATGTGTCTTGCTTCTTGAAATCTCTCTGGCTTCAGCAATTTGTAGTCATTTCCACTGCAGACCATTAAGAATATATTTCAAAGACAGACTAACAAAGTTCAAGTACAAGTTATTTTTTAAATATTGGAGCTTCTAATTGGGTGAGTATGTATTAGAGATTATCAACACAAATAATATAGAGCCAAAAAAGGAACTTAGGTCAGAGATATTGGTTGACTTCCTTATTGCATTCTTTGATATTCATTGTATAACCATGTTTTGCAGACGGATCTTCTGATAAAACTTGAAACTCGTTGGTTTATTGGGTGTATTTGTTTTTCTTATAAGTTTTCTTCCAACCTACTTAATCTCATTTAACACTGTGATTTTATAAATTTTTCCAATAAAGCAGTAAAGTTTTGTCAACACTGCACTAGAAGTATCCCAAGTACAATGCCTGGGTCATTTTCTCTCTGATTTGGTTTTCACATTCCCTTAGAACAACACACTAAGCTTGATTTTTGAAGACCCCTAATGAGGACATGATTAGGCAAAATAATTAACATTGCATCTGAGCCTTAGAACTGAACCTTTACTATTCATTTCATTTGCTTGTTTCATTTCTATATTGAGTTTTTCTCATGCCAAATGTATATTTTTCTTAAAGGCTTATGAAAATTTTGGTGAAAAAATGTTGCTGCTTCAGTGCAGACATGGAACCTCTTTTCCTAAGCTAGATAGCTTGGTGAGTATTATCATTTATTTTTCCTTATACACACAGGTTTCATATCAAACTAAATCTTGTCAGAAATATACTTGAGGGGATAAAACACTTTAAATATGTCAGAAGAAACAAAGGATTTTTGAGTTGACAGATGGGATGGAAGAAGTAAGAACTTATGCAGTCATTGTATTCCATAGCAATCATTATGAGTATTATTTTCAGCTCAAAAAATAACTAATCAGAGACTTTCACTTAATCATAAACTTTTTAGAGATAAAGGAATCTTAAAAGTCATCCAACATAATATATTAATTTTACAAAAGAAAAAATGAGTGGCATTTTATATTTATAAAATATAAGACTACATATTCCTACATGAGTGTATAACATCAAAAATCTAAGTGACAGCTACTATAGAAATTGAATGGATGACTAAGCAAGCAAGAAATTAAACATCCAAAAGTTCCCCAAATCTTAGGCCATAATCTTAGAAAGTATGTTTAGTGGGGGGAAAGCATTCACTAATATTCTCTTTATTAGCTTCCTATACTAAACTCACTAGTTTCAGTTGTAATTTTTAATTCTCCACAATGTTATGATTCTGAAAATCTTTAATTAGGAGGAAAGGTATTTGCATATTACTACTTCCTTTGTTTAATTACACTCTCCCAACTTCTCTGATATATAAAAGGTAATTGAGTACACTTAAAATTTAGGAAAATGTTAAAGTGTCCTTTAATTATATTTTTGGGAAGCAAAAAGAAGGCTGAGCATTGACTCAAATCACTACTAGATGCATTTCATGCCTAGAAAGAAGCAGGCACAAAAGGAATAAAAATGGTGTCTTTATGCTGGTAACTATGCTAGGAATTGTGTTATACCTGATATACCATGGAAATAAATCATTCTGACTAAATCCTTTATTTTCCTCTATTGTATATGCAAATAGAACAGTTGTTGTTTTTTTTAAGGAATTAGCTAAGGAAATACTTCAGAATAAATCTTGTTCAAATATGTAAAATACAAGTTCTAATTATGCAAGGCTTTCATAATTAACTAAAGTAGGATAAATGAAAACAATCTCCAAGCTTCATATATGTCTTCAGTTTCAATATTTCCCTCCATATGTTTAATCAAAGTATCTAACAAAGATACATTTAAGTTTTTGCCTATGTTTTTCTATTTTCCTGACCAGCCCTTGAGCAGAAATGATTTTTTAAGATAAAATAATAAAGAAAAAATAATAGAATAAAAGGATAGGATTCTGGGTATTCCAGCTTCTTTAATTAGCCTCTATATATTGGAATGTTGTCTATAGCACCTTAAAAAGTAGTTTAAAGTACTGATTTTGGAGTGTGCCCTCATTGAAACTGAGATATTCTGAACAATGAATATAGTCAGACATGACTATGCCTTTCTAAACCAGCCTAGCAACTAGACATTCAAAACCAGCAGTATTCATATTTTCAAGAAAACTCCTAATTTCTTATTTCCACATTCCAGTGCTATGAGCCATCTTCTCTATTCTCAAGCATCAAGCATCAATTCTCTCTCTCTCTCTCTCTCTCTCTCTCTCTCTCTCTCCCTCCCTCCCCTCCCACACTTCCTCCCTCTCATCTCTCCTTTATACTGTGACCCTTTGGGTAGCTTAGAACAGTACCAGGTAATAACGCCCTAATAGTTTCTTAATGTAAAATTAAAATAGCAGCAGAGGCCCCTCTCACTGTCTGTTTCTGCACTCTCCTTGACAGACAGGTGGGCTAGTGCCTAAATAAGTGCAGAGTACCCCAAGCACAATTATTTCATAGTCCAAAAATAAAATCCAGTTTTTTATTTCAGGTACCAAGTGGAAAAATGAGGATTCTCCTGGTCTTTCTAGGTCTGCTTGGTAATTCTATTGCTATGCCAGTGAGTATATTTTTAAAATTTAGGACTTTTTGTGTGCTCTATTGTTACATAGCTTGAAGAAAATTATTGGGCTTATTTCCACTGACATTCTGAATTTGTCATCGGTATCCTTTCCCTTTCAGATGCACATGCCCCGGATGCCTGGATTTAGCAGTAAAAGTGAGGAGGTATGTATGTTCAGTGTCTGGGGAGAAGTTTTCCAGAGCCCTGTCTTGAGAGTTCATTTAAAAAAGGAAAATGTTGGAAAACTTTCTGGTATAAGATGTCTTAAGAAAGAGATAGAAGGAGTGAGATTTGAAAGACTTAAACTCTCAAATTAAGGCAAAGTAATAATCTCCTCAGCACCATCCTACCTATGTATTTCAATATTCCTTCTCAAATTAAGTGTATTACATTAGATAGCTTTTTTGCTAAGTTTTCAAGCCAGCAAAGGTAGCCATTTTTACCAAGGGTTGTTAGACATTTAAGTATATAAATAACTTTTACATGACGTATACCCAGGATCATTAGCCAAACTCATTACTCATCAGAAAGGAGAATCATCTTTTTATAGAATTATCACACTTTCAGATCCTGAATTCCAAAAAAGCGGAATTGAACATTTAACAGCTTCAAAGTAGACAAGATTTTTATTCTCTATTATTCTTCTCAAAATAAAATTCTGAGTGAAAAATTAAAATGCCATAGAAGTTTTTACTGCATTTAACTTTATTAATAACCAGTAAAATATATTATGACTCTTGTACCTTAAAATCAGAAATTCAACTTGTTTGTTATGATTTGTGGATTGATTGAATGACAATGTTTCACTTGTGCCACATTAATGGGTTCCTTTGGTCACAGATGATGCGGTATGGTCAATTCAACTTCATGAACTCCCCACATGTAAGTTATTATGTCTAATGATCTATGCTTTCTGATGATTTCTTGTTTACATAAAGATAATTACATTGTAACTATACACACATTTTAATTATAAGAGTTTCAAGGGGGGGAATAATTTCACCTGTCCTCTTATAACAAATTTTCTTATTATTCATTATTATTGTTGTTTCAAGTAAATAAAACTCATTTTTAATTACAAGGGCTCTTTAAGTCCAAAAGAAATTTGTTCTGAGAAAAGATCACACAAGATATATTCACAAATAATGAGAACAAAAAAATAGCATAGTAAATATTCAGTGGTTGGGGGGGGCAGTGTAAATTTTATTTGGATTCTCTTGAAAAATAACACCAAAATTATGAAATAAATTATCATTTTATTTAAATAAATTTAATTATACTTATCACTGTGTGTTAATTCTTAGAACTGACTAATAATAAGTCAAGCATCTGTTGAATCTTTTGGCATAATTTTTCAGACAAAATAGTGTGTTAGTACAATAATATCATTTATCACTTTTGACTTGTGGCACGATCATAAAAACCATTTTGGAGGAAAATCAAGGACTTCATCTGCTTTCCCTTAATCCTTTCAACCAAAGAAGTTATATGCATACAAGAGGACGGGTGCACAAAATCTGTGCACTCGGGGTGGGGGTTGGGGGGGGTTCCCTCAGCCCAGATTGCAAGAGGGCGCAGGACAGGCCGAGGGACTCCACTGGTGCATGATCAGGGCCAGGGAGGGACATGGGAGGCTGGCCAGGGCATGTCTGGCCCATCTCGCTCAGTCCAGATCAGCCGGACGCCAGCAGCAAGGTAACCCACCGGTCGAAGCGTCTGCCCCCTGGTGGTCAGTGCATGTCATAGTGAGTGGTTGAGCAGCCTTAGCATATCATTAACATATTATGTTTTGATTGGTTGAATGGCCAATCAGCCAACCAGACATTTAGCATATTAGGCTTTTATTATATAGGATATGCATAACCCATGACACAGACAATAGTGTGAAGGTCTGGGGTGTGGGAGACGGGTGCAGGGTAGAGGGGGTCAATGGGGGGAAAAGGAGGGATATCTGTAATACTTTCAGCAATAAAGATACATTTTTTTAAAAACAAGTCATTCTCTTTTAAAGCCCCTCACCTAAAATTATCATCATTGTCAATTTTCTCACTTTTGACTATTGATTGACCTAATTCTTTTAAACTCTCATTCTCGGTTTTAGTGACTTTGCCTGTAATTTGATGTGTTCACCAACTTAATTGTCATAAAATACTACATCTTAATGCAAGAGTTGCAATTTTATCTTCCATCAGTTTACATGGCATTTGCACTATGTGTGTGTACATCATCCAATAGACAGCAAGAGACTACTTAATGAAGACTGGAGATAGAAACTGGTGTGAAAACAGAGAAGGAGCATTTGAATGGGAACTGATGTTGTAAGAGGTCAATCTCTAGATTAGCATTTTCAGATTATTGCTACTCTTGCTTCCCCGTCAACTTTGAAATTGTGGAGATTCTGATAATGAAAATGAAATTAATGAGGATTCACCTGCAATCAAGAAGCACAGGCACCATTAAGGGTGTTTACACAAACAGAATTTTTATTCTCTCTCTCTCTCTCTCTCTCTCTCTCTCTCTCTCTCTCTCTCATCGTTTGCTTTTTTAACACTCTCACTTTATTCCTTTTGCTTTTCCTCCTCCTATTCCAGCCTCTTAACACGTCACAGGGGTTTTGAATTTGACATCAACTCCTCTATAACCTGACTTGTACAGTTCCTAACTGTAAGGGCTTTATTCTCAAACTGAAATTTCTCACCCGATTTGTCCTTTGCTTTGTTTGTTTGGTTGGTTGGTTGGTTTTCTAGAAGACTGAATGAAATTCATTTCTGTAAGATAACATGTAAGGGAATGCTAGCTAAAGATCTTGATGCTTCCATTGTTAAGCTCCATGGAATTTTTAAGATTCCTGGCTGAGTATAGAGACTGACACAAGAGGGTGGGGAAAGCTAGAATCTCTGCCCTCGTGTGACCTTACTGCTATTTGCTACCCTTGCAGATGACACAATTGGGCCCCTCATATGGTTATGGTATGCAACCCCCTCAGCTCTTCCCACAGTACCAGATGCCTATGTGGCCCCAGCCACCACCCAACACGGGGCGCCCAAAGAAACCCTCATCTCCTCCAGCATCCAAACGCCAGGGCAAGACGGATCTAGCCCCAGAGACCCCGAAGCCCAACCAGCCTCAACCAAAAAAGTCACCACCGAAGCGACCTTTAAAGCAACCAACGCCTGCCCCAACTCCGCCCCAAGAGGAAGCCCAGCCACCTCAGGTGAGGCTTGCCCAGCAAAATTTCAAACCAAGTCACATGGCCTCAAAGTGATTCGGAGGGCCTTGCTGCCCACACATACACACTTCCTTCTGTGCTGCTGCTCAGCACAGGCACTGCTATGAGCAAAACAGAATCTTTAGTTTTGACATTTTCTTCCAAGGTGATGCTGTCACCTCCTATTCAAAACTGCCTAGTGAGTCCATTTCAGTTCTTGTTTGAGTTAAAATTACTCAAAAACTCTCACCTTAAAGAAGGTCCTTTTAAAATACAGAGGTAACATGGTATAGGAATCTGAGCACTAATGGAAGAGTCCGGACACAGAGATTCAAGTTCTACCTTCAGTAGTAGAACTGGCTGGCAGTAGTATGAGCTTGAGCAAGTCACTATACCTTTATAGACTCCAGGTTCCCCATAAGTAAACAAAATGATGTCTAAGCCCCTTCCAAGTTCTACCTTTTGATTATCTAAAATGTTGCCCTGAAAGGCAGTACTGCTCCAGTACTTCAGGATGGTCCTGACTTAAAGCACGAAAACTGATAAATGGTTTCTCAAAATCTCATCTCATGTGGAGCTTCTAAACAATTGTCTTTTAGTCAGTTCGCATTATTATTAGACACTCTTACAGATGTAGAGAAAATTAAATGAAAAGACTCTCCTGGCTTCAATCACTTTTCAGCTATGAGATTTGGGACAAGTGCATAACTTCTCTGAACCTCAGAATCTTAAGTGAAATGGGAATAATAATAGCACATATTTTCTTTGGTTATGTGAGGATTAAGTAAGCTTACCAATATAAAATACTCAGCACAATACCTAGGACATGTGTTCAATAATACTAATTGTTGTTATTATTGTCATCTCTGCCCTACAATTAAAAAGCACAGTTTAGTGCAAAGGGAGATGTAGACTCCCAAGTTTCAAATAATTGTATTTACCAGTTTCGTTTTGTTTTTCATATATTCTCACTTCCACATCATGATGATTCTTTCTTTCTCTCTAGGCATTCCCACCATTTGGCAATGGGATCTTTCCCTATCAACAGCCACCATGGCAAGTTCCACATGTGAGTTTTTCTTCTTAGTATTAGAAGTGAAAAATAATATTAGCATGTTATATCTCAAACTAACATAAGTTTATACACTCTAAAAGGAATGCTATGTGCCAATCCTAGAGAGTATGGAACAAAATCATTACATCAGTGATCATGTAGGAAAAAAGAATTTTTAAGTGAACTTTTTACTCAAATTGGTGGCATGAACACAGCCTAAATCATCAAACAACTGCTAGTAACTTAGTTAATGAGTTAATTTTAAAAGGTTGTACTACTTCATTACCATTTTCTGCTTCCTCAAGAGATTTGACAACACAAACATTATCCTCATTTAATGTAATGGGGAAATTTGAACAAAATGGAATTTGAAAATCACAAGATAAGCTATGATTAGACAAAGATTTTTCTATCATATCTGATTTCTAGCCACAGCTATTTTATTATAAAAAACATACAAAATAATATTTATAAGAATCCTTTAAAGTTTAAAGTCAATCAAATAAAATATAATATTGAAATTGCATCACAGGCATTAAAAAATATTAATTGCAAAATAAACTATTTAAACTAAAGAAATAGTAAAGACCAGTTGCTGTTAAAGTAACATAAATAAATATTTGATGACTTCATTCATTGTTTTTTCTTATTTATCACCCTTATAACCAAGAAAGTTTCTTGTTAACGTGGAACAATTCATTTCAATAAGAGTTCCTTACTTTTTTGCCTTAAGAAAATTACTTCCTTTTACTGGTCATACTGAAGTAAGGAAACGAAGGCAGTACCGGGTGAATAGTTAAAAAGCAGATGAGCATGAGTCTCATGCTGAAGTAGCTATTAACCATAAAATTCTGGAAGATCTGTGGAAGTTGAACTGCTTTTCTAACCCTCCTCTGAGTAGAAACCCAGCCTCCAAATTTGAGTAGAAAAATAAACTTTGGTCAAATAAAAACATTATAGTAATAATCCAGGAAGGATTGTCAATTTGTCACCCTAAATGTGAAGTAGATGATCTAAAAATAGCATCATTATTTAATCTTCATTATTACATGTTCTAATATGGATGTTTGGACCCTAATGGCACTCAACCCACTTTCTTCCTCCCCCTCACCCCTCCCATCTGTGTGTGTGTGTGTGTGTTGAGGTGACAGGGCCAGATGAATGCTAGGAGATGATATTTTCAGTAGGATGAGCTAGGACCCTTCTGAAGCAATTGTATTTACCAGTATTCACTGTCAGATTATAATTATAGTTGTAAGTATTAATAGCTGAATTGTGAGAACTAATGACTCAGATGCTAAAAGCTAACAGTGCTGACACCCAATCACTGATACGAACTATTTTAAGACACCTCAAGTCTAACAAACAAATAGCAGCATAGGAAGTGGTTTTCTCTTGTGTTCATTGTGTTTTTCACCTTTCAGAGGGTACCACCAGGTTATGGACGTCCACCAGTCAGCAATGAAGAAGGGGGGGTAAGTACAAGTAAAGCTACATTCCCCATTAGCAATTACAACCTTTCAGTCTCTACTTTTTTATCCCTGCCTAATAAGAAAACTAAAATCCAACACATGAACCTATGGCTCAAGTGCCCATGATATAAGGGAGAAAAAGTGGAATAAATCAAGCCAGTAAATATACAATAAATGTGATACATCATTTCTCTTCTACATGTATTGGAATCTTCCTCCCACCCTCCCTCCCTCTCTCTTACTCTCCCTCTCTGTCAAAGAAGGCTAACCTAATAACCTACGCTCCAGTGATGGAGCAACTAGTAAACAGGGAAAGAAGTAAAAGCATCTTAGAATGTTATCCCCACAAGAGAAGTAATCATCTAACTCCCTCGTTGTACAAATATATCAAATCCCAGAGAAGATAAATTACTAATTAATTTCACCTACTGATTTAGTGGATAAACTGGACCCAGAATCCATGTCTTCTGACACAAGTTCAATGAGTTTTTTATGACACCACACTAGGAGAAGAGCCAAATGCATGTCACAGAGGGATATGCTGTTAATGTATTCCAGCACTGTGTCATCAAAAAGTCCTTGCAGTGATGGTGGCACAGCATGCCACCTCTTTTTCCCTAGATATGTGCTATGTCCTCAGTGAAATGCAGAAACCTGATAGGTCTGGGAAGTGGGGAGTTTAAAAAGTGACATTAAAAATTCTATGTTAGCCCTGGTCGATGTGGCTCAGTTGATTGAGCGTCATCCCATGCACTGAAAGGTTGGTGGTTGGTTCAATTCCCGGTCAGGGCACATACTCAGGTTTTGGGCTCCATCCTCAGTAGGGGGTGCACAGGAGGCAGCTGACCGATGTTTCTCTCTCTCTCTCTCCCCTTCCTTTCTCTCTAAAATCAATAAAAACATTTTTTTAAAGCTACTATTAGTAATGGCATAGGGTGCTTTAAAAAAATCATTGTGAAATAATGCTAATAAAAATGAGTCAGATAATTGTATGCAGCCTAAAAACTAACACTTCAGATTTTCACAACTATAACATGAGAGAGTGAGACTGAATGACCCAGGCAGTTGGCGTAGGTATTAAGAAATCTGTATTCCAACTCCGGAGACCTTGTCTGATTTCCTACATGTCAGAGACATCGCCACAGCCACTTGTCTCATCATCTCCATCCACAAATAGAGATTAAAAATACTTTTCCCCTAGAGTGTGCTTGTTTTTAAAAGAAAAACTAAATAACCTAAATGCCACACAAATGTCTAACAAACACACTGACAGAGCTCATGATAATTGCATCACTCGTGAAAAGTTTATTAAGCACTTCCCCTGTGTTAGGTACCTAGAAAACAAAGGTTAAAAGAATGTTTTCACTCAAAACCTTCACATGGGAGAATCAAGTGGGAGAATCCCAGGAAAATGGGCAATTGCAGTTCAGTGGGGTAATTGTTATAGCAGAAGTCTATGCTACTGGGGACACCCCGAGTAGAGCTAATGCTGCCCATGGAAGTCAGGACAGAGAAGGGAGCATTCGGACTGAATCCTGAGAATGAGTCAAGTTTGCCAGGAGGTATAGATGTGTCAGTGAGAAGGTTTGCTATGACAAAGCTATGTGCAGAGGCACTGAAAGACAGAGAGAATAGAGCATTCAGAGAACTAGTTGTAATTTTCTTTTTATTTTATGTATTGTGATAAGAACACTTCACATTTGTTACCCTCTTAACAAATTTTGAAGTATAGACTACAGTATTGTTGACGATAGGTACAATGTTGGCAGATTTCTAGAGTTTATTCATCTTGCTTAACTGAAACTTTATGCCTATTAATTAGTAACTCCTCATTTCCCCCTCACCAAGCCCTGAGCAATCACCATTCCACTCTTTGGTTCTATGTATTTATTTCAATTACCTTATATAAATGGAATCATGCTGTATTTGTCTTTCTGTGACTGACTTATTTCACTTAATATATAATACCCTCAAAGTTAATTTATGTTGGCATATATTACAATTTTCTAAGGCTGAATAATATTCATATATATATATTATTCATCCATCAGTGGATGCTTAGGTTGTTTCTATGTCTTGGCTATTGTGAATAATGCTGCTAGTAGCAGCTGTGATTTACAACCACATAAAGTACAAGGAGGAGGAAATGAGGCTGAATGCAATAGGTATGGGCCAGGTGATTATTTAAAATTATTATTCATTATTATTCAATTATAACTCTTGTTAGGCCCTCACCAGTATCAGGCACTGAGCTTTGCATATATTATTTCATTTGACTCTCATGAAAACCTATGAGGTAGATTGTTTTTATTATCTCCATTTTTCAAATAAGTACATTGAGAGCCATACTACTAATTCTGGTGACCTGGGATTTTAATCCATATCTGTCTAGAGACCCACTCTTCAGCATGACACTGTACTGCTTTGTATGTTAGCCAAATGTTTAGAATTTATCCTGTAAGGCAAGGGCAACCTTAAATTATATTTAGCCCAGCCAGTATGCCTCTGTGGTTCGTGGGCCCATGAACCAGGAGTCAGGGTTCGATTTCCAGTCATTGCACATGCCCAGGTTGCAGGCTTGATCCCCAGTAGGGGGTGTGCAGGAGGCAGCCAATCAATGATTCTCTCTCATTGTTGATGTTCCTCTTTCTCCCTCTCCATTCTTCTCTCAGAAATCAATAAACATATTTTTAAATTAAAAAATAAACAGGAAAGTGACAGAACTTTCCCACACACCCAACCCCCAACCTCCACTACCCTGGTGGCAATGGAAAGGCAAGGTTAGAGGTAGGTAATATTACATCCAGAGTAACCAGTAAGAAAACTATTGCAATAGTCCAGGGGTTTGGGGGATAAAGGAAGAGGGAACAAAAGAAGGAGATTAAAAATTTAGTTTATAGGATGTGGTCATTAATCACTAGGGGAGATAAAGGAGACAAACAGAAACAACTTGGGAAACTGAGTAAATCATGGTGAATACTACTTAGAAATAGAATATTGGAGAAGGAGGTTTGGGGAAAGATGAGTCTAATCTGGGTACATTCTGTTGGAGGGACTCCTGAGATCTTCAGTGAAGCTGTCTTACTGTCTTAACCTCGGGAGAGAATGGGATGGGCCAGAGTTGTGGCTTTGGGAGTCACTGGCATGTATTTGTAGTAAAAGAATTCGGCTGCAATAGCTTGCTCAAGGCAAATGTGTAAAATGAGAACAGGAGAATGAGGATAAAGATGGAAACCTTTTAAAAAATAGGTTTAGAATACAGGCAAGAAAAAGAGAGCTGAGAAGTAATGGTCAGCAAGTAGAAGAACCAGAAGGGAAAGGGGTCATAGAACCCAAGGAGGAATCAAATGTCAAGAAAGAAAGCTTAAGTCATTAGTGTTAAAAGAAGCATGTGACTGATAAGATTTCCCTATCACATTAAAAAATTCTGAGCACCACCTGGTGGGAAGCAGAGAGTAATTATCCATGTCTATCTTCTTCCCTACAGAATCCTTACTTTGGGTATTTCGGATATCAGGGATTTGGGGGTCGTCCTCCCTATTATTCAGAAGAAATGTTTGAACAAGATTTTGAAAAACCCAAAGAAAAAGACCCTCCTAAAACAGAAAGTCCAGCCACCGAGCCCTCGTCAAATTCAACAGTTCCTGAGACTAATTCTACCCAACCAAATGCACCCAATCCTGGAGGGCGTCCAGGTGGAAATGACACCAGCCCAACAGGAAACAGTGGCCATGGGCCCAACACTGGGGGCAACCCTACAGCTCAAAATGGGGTCAATCCACACCCTGCAGTTAATGTTTCAGGCCAGGGGCCACCAAGAAGTCAAATCCCATGGGGCTCAGGTCAGCCAAATATTCGTGAAAATTACCCAAATCCTAACTTTCCAAGTTTTCCTGTGGGAAGACAATGGCGTCCCACTGGTACCACCGTGGGACACAGACAGAATGGGCCTTTTTACCGAAATCCAGTCCAAAGGGGTCCTCGGTGGAACTCCTATGCTTGGGAAGGCAAGCAAGCTGTTCGTCCAGGAAATCCAATTTATCGCAGACCGTATGCTTCCACTGCAAGAGGCAATTCTCCCAATCTTGCAGGAAATCCAGCAAATTTCAGAAGAAAACCTCAGGGGCCAAATAAACACCCTATGGGAACCAATGTTGCCCCTTTGGGTCCCAAACATGGTACTGTTGGTCGCAATGAAAAAATTCAAAATCCAAGAGAAAAGCCATTAGGTCAAAAAGAACGAGTAGTCATTCCTACAAGAGATCCAACTGGCCCCTGGAGAAACTCTCAAGATAATGGAGCTAATAAATCAAACTATAAACTGCCTCCTCCCGAGAGTAACAAGCAACTCCCAAATTTTAATTCTATTGATCAGCGTGAAAATTCTTATTACCCAAGAGGAGATTCCAGAAGAGCCCCAAATTCTGATGGACAAGCCCAGAGCCAGAATTTGCCCAAAGGGATTATTTTAGAGCCAAGAAGGATCCCATATGAATCAGAAACTAATCAACCAGAATTGAAGCACAGTACATATCAGCCTGCATACCCTGAGGACATCCCTTCCCCTGCAGGAGAACGTTTTCCTGCTGGAAGAAATACTTGGAACCACCAAGACATCTCTCCACCTTTTAAGGAAGATCCCAACAGGCAGGAAGAACACTTACCTCATCCTTCCCATGGCTCTAGGGCAGATGTGTACTACCCTGACTATAACCCCTATGATCCCAGGGAAAACTCACCATACATTAGAAGCAATACATGGGATGAAAGAGATGATTCTCCCAATAATGTGGGACTACCGGAAGATCCGCTATACCCCATGAATACTCCAGACCCAAAAGAGACAGTACCTTATAATGAAGAGGACCCAATTGACCCAACTGGAGACGAACCTTTTCCAGGACAAAGTAGATGGGGTGTGGAGGAGTCACGCTTTAAAGAAGGTGCCCCAGTTAGGCACTATAAAGATGAACAGTATACCTCAAATCGACCAAAGGAGTACCTTCCCTATTCCTTAGATAATCCATCGAAACCCAGGGAGGATTTTCCTTATGGTGAATTTTACCCCTGGAACGCAGATGAGAATTTCCCATCATATAATACAATTCCCACTGTACCACCACCTGTGGAGAACAGGGGCTATTATGCCAACAGACCTGTTGGACAAGAAGAAAACTCTCTGTTTCCTTCTTGGAACTCCTGGGACCAAAGGATAGAAACCCAAGGGCAGAAAGAAAGAAGACCATACTTTAACAGAAATTTCTGGGATCGGCCAACCAATTTACACAAAGCCCCTGCTAGCCCACCACACCAGAAAGAGAACCCGCACTATTCCAGTAACTCCCCAGCTGGGCTTCAGAAAAATCCAATATGGCGTGAAGGTGAGAATTTGAATTATGGAATGCAGAATACTAGGTTAAATTCACCAGACAATGAACACTTGGCTTTCCAGGACTTAATTCCTCCAAGTTATTCAGCAGATCAAAAAGAAGCACATTTATTTCACCAAAGCCAAAGAAGCCCTTGCTGTGCTGGTGGCTCTGTTGGACACAAGGACAATCCACTTGCTCTACAAGACTACACTCCATCCTTTGGTCTTGCACCAGGGGAGAACCAAGACACCAGTCCCCTGTATACAAAAGATAGCCACACTAAGCATGCAAGACATACCATCTCCCCGACGAGCAGCCTACCTAGCCAAAGAAACAGCTCAGAGAAAAGACAGCCTGGAGAAAGTCAAAACCCAAGTCCTTTTAGAGATGATGTGTCCACTTTGAGGAGGAACACACCGTGTTCTATAAAGAATCAACTGGGCCAAAGGGGAATTATGCCCTTTTCTGAAGCCAGTTCCCTTCAATCAAAGAATACACCTTGTCTCAAAAATGACCTTGGAGGAGATGGAAACAATGCTTTGGAACCAATATTTGAAGGCAACCAGCTTAATGAAAGGACTGTTGACCTTACTCCCGAGCAGCTTGTTATCAGCACACCTGATGAAGGCCCCAAGCCAGAAGAAATCCAAAGTGAAGTGCAAGGAAATGAGGGTGAAAGGCAGCAACAAAGACCATCTAGCATTCTACAGTTACCATGCTTTGGCTCCAAATTAGCAAAGTATCACTCCTCCAGCCCTGGAACTCCATCTAGCATTGGAAGGCAAAGCCCATTCAATGGCGATTCAATAATGCCTACTGAAATTCCTGACTCATTGGCTGGGTTAGCTACTGGGACCCAGTTTCAGAGTATAATTGTAGACCCATATAATGTAGATGAACACATTCCATTTGATTCCCTTCAAATAGGGACCAATCCACAAGACTGCTTACTACTTCAGGCTTAGGAATTACTGTATATCAACTGAGCATTCTTTGGAGAAGAAAAATACCTGATATTTTACAGTGGTTCTCAAAGTTTTCCCCTGAAGACTTGATTAAATATCTGTCTCGCTTGGTGATCCTTATGTTTTCCCCCATTCCAACAATAGGAGTAGTGACCCAGGTGGTGCTGATGAGGTTGGGTCTCTTGGAGTCACTACAACCAGTGCTACCACTATTAGTGCAGACTTTAAAAAACAAGCAAACAAAAAGGCAGGAAGACTATGACCACCACCACCTTGAAACTTGGAAGCCACTTGTCTGGGTTAGTTTCCCTTTGCTTGCTGATTCTTCTTTTTTCTCTCAAAGTTCCATACTTGCAAAATGCTCTGGTTTTGCAAAACAGAAAAGCAGATGAACTTTCCATTTTGTGTATGGAGATCTGTGTCAGTATAATCCTGATGATTGTACATTTTTTTCTTGTGTTGGTCTTGTCCGTTTTTGTTTTTGTTTTTCCCTAGGTAATGTTCTCTTTTGGCACTTTTTTCTTCCACTACCTCTTTTTTTCTCTACCTTTATTATTTACTTTCTTATTTTCTTTCTTTTAATTCTATCTCAACTATTCCATATTTAGCTTTCTATTTCTTTCCTTTCCATCTTTCTATCACTTCTTACATAGTAAGCTATCTTTAACCATCACTAGTCTTTACATCTACCTTTTTCATTTTTGTCTTCCTCTCTTCCCCCTTTGTTCTGTCTCCTAATATGTCACTTGTCAACCAATCCCTTTCTTCTCTCTTTTCTTCCCTTTAATTTATCTTTCTCCCTACTGTGCCATTTTCCTATCTTAAGACTGCATATCTCTCTCCCTTTATTATATCTACTCTCTAAACTCTATCCTACTTTTTTTTCTTGGCCTAGCCTAAACATTTTTGTAGAGTATATTTCAGAAATAGTAGACACTGGTACCTACTTTCATTTTTTATATTCTTAGGGTCTTACCAGGTAAACACAACTCAGTCAAAGGAACACATTCAAGGAGAAGTATGGGAGGAAACAGGCTTGTTACCCAGAACAAGCAGCAGGGGAATAAGGCTTAGGAAAGTAGATAGGGACAAACTGCCACTCTGTGACTGAGCACTTAGACAAAAAAAGACTAGGACTTGTTATATCCCATCACCAACTCATCATCTGAGAAACACTGTCCTAAATCAAATAAAGGAAACACTCAACAGTTAGTTTTCTTTAATAGTACAGTATAAATGGTTCTAGCAATGTGTGCTACTAGAAACATAAAGACTTTTGTTGTTGTTGTTAATCCTCACCTGAGGATATTTTTTCCAATGTTTTCAGAGAGTGGAAGGGGGCGGGGGTTGTTGTTGTTGTTATTCTTCACCCAAGGATATGTTTAGAAAGAGGGAGAGAGGAAGGGGAGAGAGGAGAGAGGAGAGAGAGAGAGAGAGAGAGAGAGAGAGAGAGAGAAACAGAGACAGAGAAGAAAGATCAATGTGAGAGAGGCCCTTGCTGTGCTGGTGGCTCTGTTGGACTATTGATGATTGACGCATCAATTCGTTGCTTCTCTCATGCACCCTGACTAGGGCCAGGGATCAAATCTGCAACCCAAATATGTGCCCTTGACCAGGATTCGAACCCATAACCTTTCAGTGTGTGGGCTGATGCTCTAACTGCTGAGAAGCATGGGCCAGGGCAACATAAAGATTTTCATTCTTCATGTCCTACTAGAATGATTTGCAGACACACTTTCTTCATACCTTGATTAAATAGTGTAAATTATTTTGTAAAGTAGACACTTTTACATCGCCTTGCTTAGAATATATCTAGGTATTTTGTTTTTATTAATGGCATTTGGCACACTATCTATATATTCTTTCCTAGAGAAAAAGAATTCTCAGAATTACCTAGAAAGTTACCTTCTAACTCTAAGGAATTCTTAGGAGAAATTTCCTGGGACAGATTTCTTTGTATTTTTTTCTTCTTCTTAGGTCATACTCCTTTTTCCTTTTAATTTTTTATTATTGAAAGTATTACATATGTTTCCTTTTTTCTCCATTGACCTCTCCCAGCCTGTTCCCCCACCCCCCGCCACCCCCAGCACAGGCCCTCACCCCACTGTCTGTGTCCATTGGTTACGCTTATATGCATGCATACAAGTCTTTTGGTTGATCTCATACTGCCCCTCTCTCACCCTCCCTTGCCCTCCTTCTGAGGTTTGACCATCAGGACAGATTTCATAAAACCTCTGAAATTTGAGAAAATAGAGTGTTGAAAACTTCCTGAGGAAACGAATCTTGTCCTTTGAGTCTTTTAATGTTCCTGGCTCTGTGTCTTTTGCACATAGTAGATATCTGATAAATATTTATTGGTTGACTGTTTTTTAAAACAGCTTTTAAAGCTCCCATGAAAATACCACAGTGTGCTTTTCCTGCCCGTTAAACCATTGGGGGTGCCGAATGAGCCACCACACTCTGTAGCTTAATGTACTCAGCAACATTTGCATTATAGAATCTCAGGGTAAGAAGGGATCTTAGAGGTAGACTGTCTAGGCCATTTATTAGTTCCTTAATAAATGCACCACCAGTTTTATATTTGAATCATTCATTGTGAAATCATTAACTTATTCTAAATAAACTGTCTCTTAAGAATTATCCTCATCAAAATAAAATTACATTTTATGTTTCACTACTTTTTTCAAATGACTTTTTAATCTAGATATGAATGCCTTTCACTGTAAAAATAATCTTTCACTTCACTATTTCATCAAAATGTATGGATCAAACACTGGTCTTGGCAGATATGCTGACAATCTTCATCTATGAGTCACTGGAACTTAATTTATCACCTGAGACCTCTGTAATGTAAAATATAAACAATGAGGACAAAAACATCTATTAAATTTGAGACTAAAGTGAGAAAATAAAAAGAGAAAATGTCCCTGTAGAAAATGACTCTTCATTAGCACAGGTATCCTTCTGCAAACCTGGATACCAGGCCTGAGTTCCTTGCAGTAAAGGAATTATTCTGTGTGCCCTTGTTAAGTTATTGATAAAGCTTTTAAAGTCAGCTCTAAAGTTAAGGTGCATGCAGTGGGATGGCAGGCCCCGAGGTGACCCCCTCTTGTCTCTAGCACTCCCAGCCCACTGCCATTTCTCCATTTCCATGGCAAGTTCCTACATCTTGTGGCTATCACTTGCTGATTTTTAAATGGCTGGATATATCCCAGCCATATATTTAGATGATAATGTAAATAAACGAGAAAGAAAATAACACCCGAGGATGGCAAATAGGAGATAATCCAGCAAGGCTAATACAACTGACTTATAAGTGTTTCTGCCTCACAGGCTGAAATAGACTTCTTTAAAGGGTAGTTGGCCATTGATCCAGCTGGCTGGGGAAAATCTTGAACTTTTCCACTTGAAGCAGAAAGTGAAGTAGGATAATGAATGTAGGGTCCAGCCACCTCTGAACACTTAGCCTAGCAGCCATCATCATGAAGATTCTTCCTCTGGCATTTTGAATGCCCTGAACATATTTCACTTTAATCATTCACATCAGAGTCTTAACTTAATACACCTTCAAAGGAAATTCACAAGACATGACCTTTGAGTTACTTTTATTGCTTGCTTTGACATATCCCAGGCTGCTTCAGTCATGACCCGAAGGACCCTAAAGAAGATTCATCTTGCCCTCAGGAAGCCAAACTTCATTTCTAAAAGCCAAAAAGGGAACTAGAAATGTTGGATTCAAATCAACAACTGTGACCCTCCTTCACAAAACCTCAGAGGTTTCACTGTGACTCAGACCAACTGCCCCATTAAAACTCAGAAAACTGCACTTTTGGGAAATAGGTAATCACCATTTCACAATGGAATCAAAGCTTTTGGTTTGGTCCACCCATTCTTCCTTGCCTCTCACCCTTAGCCCTGTAACATCAGCCACTAGACCTTTATCTCTCACTTTGAAATCATGGCCAATAAGATTTAGAAACAGGATTTATCGGGTAACAAACAAAATTCCATTTGGCAGAGCAGAATTCTTCAAATAAAGGAGAAAGCTGAGCTGTAATTGGGCACAGATATGATTGTGAAATAGATGAAGCGGCTCTCAAAGCCCATCACTTCCCCCATCACGGTCATCTGCACTCAGTGTCCATTTCATCTGCCTAAGGACCCAGCACCTTCTTTTCTGTGCTTCATCAGAAAATGGACAGTCTTGGATTCAATTACCACTTCTCCATACACTATCTGTGAAACCTATGAATATTACTTCATCTCTTTGCATCTCAGTTTCATCATTTGTAAAATGAAGATAGTACTTATTTCATAGGGCAGTTGAGGATTAAATGAAACATGTTAAAAATGAATATGCATTGTACTTTATGAATCAACCACCAGGAGGAGATGGAAGCTTATAATTCTAAAGCCGTGGTTCTCACATGATTCCAAGCAGCTGCTGGAAATTTTTTGAAAAATGTACTTGCTTCTGCTGTATCCCAGAACTACTTAGTCATCATGGGAGTTGGGAGGGAGGAATCTGTTTCAATGAGTCCTCGGGGTGAGTCTCGTGCATGCTAAAAACTGAGAATCAGTGATCCTATACTATCACATTATTTTCTGATTTGTTGCCTGGATAGAGAGAAGAGCCAGAAGTCAATTAACACACAATGACAACTGCAATTTACAGAGGGTTACTGAATGCTATAATAGCTGTAATAAGTGGTGTACATAAATTATGGCATGTATCCTTATTTTTACAAGCTATGAGAGATTTGTTTTTACTCATATTTTTAATCATATTGAATGAACTTGCCTTAGTGATGTCATTTAGTCACTAAGTATAGAATCTAGGCCATGAATTTACCCACTAAGCTACACAGCCAAGACCTGGAAAGATCATTAAAGATCATTCCTATCCATAGTCTTAAAATGAATATTTGACTTGTGTTTACTGGATTTCAAGGGCCTGGCACGAAGGAACATTACTCTTATTGTTAATTAATGTAATTTTC